GTTGTTGTTGTTGTTGTTGTTGTTGTTGGTGTTGCTGTTGCTGTTGGTGTTGCTGTTGCTGTTGCTGTTGCTGTTGCTGTTGCTGTTGCTGTTGCTGTTGCTGTTGCTGTTGCTGTTGTTGTTGTTGTTGTCATTGTTGTTGTTGTTGTTGTTGTTGTGGTGGTGCTAGTGGCTGCTAGTGGTGGTACTCGTGGTAGTACTGGTGGTAGTACTGGTGATGGTGGTTGTGGTGGTGCTGGTGGTGGTGGTGGCGGCTGGCGGTGGTGCTGCTGTTGGTGCTGGTTGCTGGTTGCTGTTGCTGTTGCTGTTGCTGTTGCTGTTGCTGTTGCTGTTGCTGTTGCTGTTGTCGTTGTCGTTGTCGTTGTCGTTTTTGTTCTCGTCGTCCTCGTCGTCGTCACTTCCTTCGCCATCCTCTCTTTGATTGCTAGTCTTCGTGTTTGTGAAAATGCCACTGTCTTCAATTGTGGCTTTGCTTCAGTGCTGTTTGCATTCGATGCATTCTTACCAAGACTGCCATTGATTGCATTCGCAGTATCACATACTAAGCTTCTCGGGAGGGGCTGGCCATGCACAGATGTGGTGACTGACTCTAGGGATGTGGCCGCGACAAATTGGGCGAGGTTCGGTTCGTGGCTTTTTTTGCTGACCAGGGCAAGACTTGCTGATCGCATTGTCTTTGTGCGATTATTGGGATGGCGGAGGTTGGGCCTATAAGGGTGATTACATCTTATGTCATCCCACCGGTGGAGTTTGGTTTCGGCTTTTCGTCGTTCATGCATCAGGCAGGCAGGACATCGTAAGCCACCATGGCCGGTGAGAGTGTATCTGCAAGTATTTCACAGGCAGGTATAACAGTCATTCCGTACCGGTGCCGTGCCGGAACTCAATTCGAATCGCCGAAGAGACGTTGCGTTGCAGAGTTGGTTGGCGGCAGGTTTCATCATGGACGACAGCCATGACATGGCTACACGTTTGGAGATGAACAATCTCTACGGCAACTTCCTCAAAGCCTTTTACACTCTGTTCGAAATAACCCACAGTGGCTCGTGGCCCTCGAAAGTACGACCTGTCATCGAAAAAGTCAACCCCTGGTATGCTGCACTGTTCTGTGGCTACATAGCCTTTGTGGTTTTCGCAGTCATACGCATAGTAACTGCGCTTTTTTTGCAAGAGACGTTGTCAAACGCGGCCAATGATGCCGACATGCTGCTGGAAAATAGCCGGCGGCTGGCCAAAGACTACCAGGACAAGCTTGAGGAGCTGTTTCAAGCGGCAGACAACGATGGGGATGGGAGCTTGACGCCGGACGAGTTTGTAGATGCGCTTAGCATCCCTGGCGTCCAACGTTCCTGAAGGCTCTCTTTTCAGTACCATTCTTTTGACTTGCTCGGACTTGACATGATACAGATTGGTCTCAGTGTTGACAGCGCAGTATGTCCGTTCTTATGGTCTAGTGACTAGCATGAATGACTGACCGACTATGCAACACCTTTTCAATACGCGTTGTGAGGCCGGCACGGTCTCAGCAGGTACACAGGTCCATGAGCCGTTCGAGGGAAAAGGCTGCGGCCCGACTAGACATCTAAGGCTACTTGACGATGTTAGATGTGCGAGTCCAAGATTGCCGACCACTTTTCGACATTCTGGATGATGGTGACGGGCAAATCACAATAGCAGAGTTCTGCAAAGGACTTATGCAGCTGAAAGGCCAGGCACGCGCTTTGGACATTGTCATGCTCACCAGGGAGAACGCGAAGATGTTGAAGATTTGCCAAGAAATCCACACAGCCCTCATGCCTACCGGGAAGGTCTTTTGAGCCGAAGCGATGAATTCAAGCGTTAAACAGAAAGCTTCTCACACAATCAGCTACTGTACCCGGTTCCGTCCTTCTCCAAGAGAGACGGGCCGAGGTGGAGCCATCTCCTACAATACCATGGATGCGGGTAAAGCCTGCCTGAAACGACCCAGCAGCCTGCACTTGTTGTATCAACGAGAGCTGCTTCAAGACCCTGGAAGGCTTCGAAAAAGAGTCTGCGAGCATCGACAAAAGGAGCAGCTGTTTCCTGTCGACGGGGCCAACCTGTTGCAACATGTTTCGACATCCATCACAAGTCCTTCGCAGTGTTGTCAGATTGAAGACATATGCTCATATTTACACAATCACACACAAAGATATACACAGAGCGATGTATTCATGCAGATGCATGCTGTCTCCGTATCTGAGCCATTTTGGGCTCGGACCTTGGATCCACAACGAAGCTCGGGGGCGAGCGGGCGCACTAATTGCGTCGTGCTGAGCTGTGCCATTCCTGGTCGTGGAGGGTGAGAGATATGTCGTTCGTGACGGCTCGTCGGACGCGACCCCCGTGGCCCTTGGATGATTGTACTGATTACACGCGGACCCGACACCGAGATCCCAAACTAATCCCTTCTAGCTGTTTTCTGCACTTGTCTGTGCACCCCAGGCGCAGCTTTCTGTTTTCCTGTTCAGCATAAACTTCAGAAGGCATCCTGGCAGGTGTACCTGCCAGACACACTTACATTCTACGATGTCATGCGTTTCCTTTGCATAGCAGTGTACGGCGGGAAGTCTGCATACTTTTCCGGATCGTGCCGACTGTTGAGTTATCAGAGATGTGGGCCTGGAGCCTGAGGCTAGGTGAGAACTAGCGGAGAGCCTCTCGACATGTGCTAAGCAGGTTTGTAGTTTGGGAAGATCGTGCAACGACATGCAAGGTCCGTGGCAGCCCCCTTCCAGGCAACGGGTTGCTTCTCAATGGGGCAGAGTAGCCTAGACTGGACGGGGCATTCGTTGATCCCTACCCAGAAGCAGAATGAACTCAATCTGATGCTACTCTCGCCTAAGGCTGATGTTCATTGTTTTAATTTGACCAAGCTGCTTGGGTTCTGCCGTAACCCAATCATGTACCTCAACTGGAGCTCAGAGTCGAAGCACTTTGTTGCCTTGTAAGAAGTTACTTCCGGCCCTCCTAATTATCCACTCCCTGCGCTGTACTTCGGCATGCTCGTCTGCGAGTGTCTTGAGGGCGGAGTGTTTAACAATTTTAAGTGACCTTGTTGTTGCGTTAGTGATGCAGAATGTGTGTCCGCGCGGGTGTGCGTGCTTGTGTGTGTGTGTGCGCGCCGGCTTCAGTTGAAGAGATCAAGCATGCGGAGTACTAGATTTGGTCCCAACTCTTTTGCACATCCCGACCTTTCAACAGCATCCACGGCGTGAGAGAAGTTGCATCTTCTGACCTTTGAACAATCACACCGGCAGTGGCATGAATGCGGCGTCGGAAGCAGGACGATGTTATATCCAGCCGGTAATTGCTTAGGTCCCACAGTGTCACCCACGAATCTACGTATGCAGATGTGTACAAGGTAGAGTTGCTCATGAGTGCCCTCGGATGGCCCCGGCATAACTACACCCAGATGACTTATCAGATCTTGTAAGCACGTGGCACAGCAGGGTTATTGACCTTGCCCCGAATATCATGTCCCATGCTCGGGCGTACCTTCCAACTCAGCGCAATGGTGGCCGCATCGAGCGCCGATGGTAGCTGAATGCATTTCGGCAGCAGCCCCTGAAAAAAAGGGTTGAACTGGACGATTCTATCCACATCCTGTTAGAGGTCTCAGACCGCAACCGGATGGGTGGTTCTGTTGCAATCAATGCATGATTTCGTTTCCTTTCCTTTAACACGAGACCCGAAGATGCCTGTTGCGGATTGACTTGAGTTGGTTGAGGCATGAACTCGCCAGTCCTGGGGCCCGGAAGCGTGCCAACCAAAATCACAAGGGATAAGTTGGCAGCTTGCTGACGAGGAAGTATCCGAGCTACTCGGTTCGTCGCGTGCCCTCCGCTTCTTCAAGTCTGATCACTTTTATTGGGGCCTTTAAAGCACAGTGGTAATTGGATGTAATTGGTGGTGCTGAGCTGCGCATGTCAGCCCCAGAACCCCAGTCTTCACATCACGCAAGCTGTGCAGTTGGCTAGGACGAAAAAGAGCTTCTTGTTCGCCATCTTTGGGCTTGTGTTGCTCGCGTGCAGGTCTGTGCATGTGTATGTGTGTGTGAATGCGTGCATTTCATGTTCTGGTTCTTTGTCTCTGTCTGTCTTTTTGAGTAAGTCTGTCGTTATTTGTTGCTGTCTCGGAACTCAAAAATCCGTCTCTAAAGGTATATTCCTGTCGTTTTTCGTCCGTGTTCAGTCTCTGCTCGTTTCCGTCTGTCTCTCGCTCTGTGTCCGTTTGTGTCTGTCTTCGTCTGTCAAGTTACGGTCGACTAGACTTCCTAGCATTGCGCACACTCACCTCGTGAATGTCTTGGACTGGGCTTCGGCAAAGCCTGGTCGGCAGATGCGAATCGGCAGGTATTGTAAGGCTTGTAAGGCTGGAGAATGCAATCCGAACTATGCCTTGTTGGGCATAGTTCGGACAGAAGTTTACCAAACCTTCTCTCGTTAACTGTGCCCCAGAGGACGCGATGATGTTAGCTAGAATTGCCAGCAAATAAGTGGCACGCAGCCCACATCACAGGGCCTCGAAAATCGAGAGAATCGGTTGCAAAGCGAACCCTGCAAGGTCCATGCAGAGCTGTGACGAGCTTGCGTCGGCCTTTCGAGCGCTGCAGCGGCGAGTGAAGGCTCATGCACCCAAGGCAGTGGACATGGTTCCAAAGTTTTCTGAAGCTGACATCTGCAGAAGCTTGTCTGCTTTCGTGCAAGATCTCGCCGAAAATTCAACATGGGTTTCGTTATTAATTTCCAGTTTTCAGCAGGAGACGAATGCTGTTGACAAAACATCGTCCGTGAACGAGAGGACCTGACGTAAATGAATGTCCATGTTCGTGGGTGGTTTCTGAAGGTGCGGAAAGGTTGCGAAACGGCAAATCTTTGCGTATTTGCCAAAGGTTCACACAGCACGGGCAAACTTCCTCGGGCCCAATCAGTTTGCACTGCAGTGCCGTCATACCCCCATTCTCAAGTCGCCCACGCCCGGATAAGCTGTGGCCTCGGTGGGGCTTACTTATAGAACGTGAGCGGCACGATCGAGCAGGAGAGGTACTGCCTTCGAAACTTTGCTAGCTAGACATCGTTCGACTGCCCGGCTGTTCATTTTTCATTTGAGAGGCTTCTATGTGCTTGTCAACAGCGGCAGGTGGTCTGCAGCTTCTGCAAGCGCAAATTCAAGATCTACCAAGACTTGCAGTCCCACATCACTACAAAGCACGCCGAGGAGCTGTGTCTGATGCAGTGAGCATGTAGACTGAGTCCTCTTGCGAACCCAACTCGAACCTGCATAAGAAGGCCTTCTTCGCCATGATGTTCGCCCACTGACCGGGGTCCAGGAAATTTCGATTGGCAAGCAGACTTAATCCTTCGAAGGAAGCCTTCATCCGATGACTGCTGCCTAACTTGTTTTCTGCTCTGGTGAGCCATGCGTCTGCGGCACACGACTGGGGGAGGCCTTCCTTTCGATTGAATCTGGGGAAGTAGGTTCAGGATCATGTGGCAAACTGGCATTCCCACACTGCAATTCAGCTGAGCCAAGAGGACCCGCATGCTCTACAAAGCCTGAGTCAGCCATTCCTGGGCTGGAGGTGGGAGGGTTGCCGGTGCTTCAGAGAAGGACCAGCCGTTGGTTTCAACGAAGCTCGAGAATATCGTGGAGACCATCCGTTATTTCATTTCGTCAGTGCCAAGCCAAGGGCCTCGCCCGGCGTCCTTTCAAAACACATCTCGCTAAGATGCGGTCGTAAAACTTACGAACCAGCCCGGGTCAAGGGGCTATCTGAAAAGCACAAGATTTCACCGAGTCGTGTCGCAGTCGAGTGTTTACTGGTAAACTACCGGAGGAGTCGCAGCCCCCCCCTGGGAGGCTTCAGGTGGCCTTTGAAGACGACTGGCTCGCTGTAGCCCGAAGCTCAGATCCGAGGCCAACGACCCCGTTTGGGGGTTTCCGAAAATAGGGGACCCTAATAATATAGTCCCTAAATAATGGGATCCTTATTATAAGGACCCCAAATAAGGTACCCATTATTTTCGGAAACTCCCATTTCTTAGTTACTGAAAAGTGTCTGACTCAGACTCTAGCCATTGACATTGCTGGCTCTGGCCGAGCAACAGACTGACTTGAAACATGGTTGAGGTAGCCAAGGCTGTCTTGAATATGTGGCGATGCAGTGTCGGTGGAAGATGTGCTCTGTAAATGAAGCGGCCTGCTGCGTGTCCTAGAGGACGGCAATGAAACAAGTCAAAGCAGTCTAAGGTGACATATGCTAGCTTGTGAAAGATAGGCCTCATCGCAGCTGGTGTGTACTTCCAGGTGTTTGCAAGAAACCCTGCTGCAGGTAGTCAAGCCTCAGCGGGTGCCTACGTTTGGCAAAGGCCGACGTGGAGGGTCGGACGGGCCACCACTCGCTTGCAGATTGTCTTGTGCAGCACCGATCGGAAGCCTCCGGCCAATTCTACAGTCAGACACAAAGACACACGACACAAAGATGCACAGACCCAGAGCATCAGCATTAAGTGGATCCTTAAGCTGCGCATGTGAGAGAGATGTTGTGAGGAATTTGCCTTCCTGCAGCAGGCAGCCTCGACAAAGCTTCCTGGTTACTTGGCCAACTCTCGCGAAGCCAAGCATCTGACTCGCTGGGCCAGGCCTGCAACAGTAGCTTGATCTCCATGGTCCATGTGTCCAAACTACAAAGATGAATCCTGTAAATACGGAATTCCGAAGACCAATCCCTGTATATAACCTTTTTGTAATTAGCAGTTCAAGCTTTGCCAAGCTTCGTTGGGGAGCCTTGGCATACCAGTTCGAACAAAGTACCTCGACAAAACCGCAAGTTAATCGGGATTCCAAAGGGACACGAACGCGGCAGGCAACACCAGTCCACCGCCTGGATGCAGCCACCGGAGGGTTGCTGGTCCTGGCGTCACTGTTCTGCACGCCTCTTTCTGTCCTTTCACTGCTGTAGGATGTGGAGAGGGCTTCACCACTTGAACACCGGAATGCAGAGAAATGATTCTTTACGTCAAACTTCTTGCTCGCATATGTTGGTAAACATGCACACTTATGCAAACGGTGTATGTGTATGTGTATGTGTATGTGTATGTGTATGTGTATGTATGCATGCATGCATGCATGCATGTATGTATGTATGTATGTATGTATGTATGTATGTATGTATGTATGTATGTGCGTGTGTATGTATGTATGTATGTAT